CGTCTCTTTTTTCTTCTATTGCTGGATAATATCGATAATTTCCAGGTTGAACGTGTTGAGAAAGGAACATCGAATACACTTTTCGACACGCTTTCCAACCAAACGCTCGCGCAACGTTTAAGAGAAATTTTTCACAGAGGAGAAAAAAGAACCGCGAAAATCCGCCTTTTCTTCATCACGGAAATTCTATTCATCGCCGTTTACCAGACTCCGCGTTGGTGAATTCGCGCTTTCGGAAGAATCAGTGCGCGAATTTTTTCGAGCTCGTGAAATTCGATTCTTCACAGTTGCATACTTTCTTCACAACGTTTCTTCATTCCACGCCGCGATTGAACGAGAGAAATTTTTAAATGACGTTGCAGATGACGCTTGCCTAACAGCAAAAAAAAAAAAAAAGAAATCCGTCCGGATCATCGAGTATTCGAGTATTTTCAAAAAGCAACGTGTTTCGAAGCGAGAAGTGGAGAGGAGCGAAAAACGAATATCGAAAGAAGATTTTCCCCGATAAAGCCGAACGTTCGAGGATTCAATTTGATTCGAGCGATTCGAGTGTCCGCGAATTAGCGGGCGGAATCGAGCATCGATACGCGATCGATGGCGGGAAATGCGCGACACGCTTCATCCTCGCCGATTCTTTCATTCGCTGCGCCGTTCGAGGGCCCTCGAAATGAAAAAAATCCTCTCGCACCTCTAATACCCATGGCAACGACGATCGAAGACTTTTCGACCGTAATTCCCTTCGATGCTCGTACTTGCTCCTAGGATAAAGAAATTTTGACAAAACGTTATCGTTATCGGAGCAAATGAAGGAAAAAAAAAAAAAAAATATTCTGAAAATGAGAAATCGTCGAAGAATGAAACGGATTCACTTGAAAACTAGTCGTGTACAACGTAGACTATATAACTTCGAAAGATGAAAGCTTTTCAATTTTCTATACCTTTTTTTTTATCTCTCCTTTTTTTGGAGGACGAAAGTTTCTTGGTCTTCGGTCGTTGCATTATTAAAAATTCATCTTCCAGCTCCTCTTTAACGAAGGCGAAAAGGTAGAAAACTTTTTTTCCGGTACAGTCGCGCTCGATTAACGCGTTTGCCGATTTTAATGATCGCGACACGGCAAACAAATCGATCGATAGATCTATCCCGTGAACGAATACGAACGAGTCGATTTTTCAAGGATGGTGGAGTTATGCGAGTCTTTGTTCGACGATTCGTGGAATTAGCGATGATGGAGGGAGGAAGGGAGGGAATCGACGTTTGCAAAACCGGAAGGTTTACACGGAAACCTCGAGAGGTTGAAAACTGTCGGCCAATTGAACTGAGCTTAACTCTGAAAAGCAAACTTCGGGACAATTCCCTCTCCCGGTAAGTGCCCTCCTTCCCCATTCTTCTTTGTTCACTTTTAATTGTTCATTTCCGCCTCGTGGCGGAAGGTGCACATATGCAAATATATATAAGAGAACTTTATTCCTTATGCTGGATGGTGCACATATTCCACGCATAAAAGTTATGTTAACAGACCGACATTTGCATCGTACAGAATTTACATGTTCGAGTTAATGCCTTGGCTTATAAGTGTACTAGGGGGAATGTATACCTTTAATGCGTTCTTTTTTTTTAAGAAAGAGAGTATTATTCGTTCAGAGAAGAAAAAAAGAATGGAGATACAGGAATTATTTAACCGTTGCCGTTGTTCCTATAATTCTTCGGTGGCTGAACGTAGGGAAGGAAAATCGAGGTCGTTTATTTTCGTGGAAACAAGTTAAAGTGGTCCGTTAGATATGGCCTGCAGGAAGTTGCGGACTATTTGTTATTTGCATCTTAACGAGAAGTGCTTTCCTTGATCTCGACGACATCGGTAACAGAACGAACATCTCGAGGTGTAAACGTTATATTTCCATGTTTTCCTACGCTAAAACCAAAATAAATAAATAAATAAATAAATAAATAAATAAATAAAAATAATAATAATAATCCACAATCGAACAATTTTCTATCGAAATTTAACCATAATTTTGCTATAATATGTAAAATAGGTAATGAAATATTCAGAAGAATTTGAAGCTTCGACAGGTTTGAATGATGAGGAAAGATTGAAAGATACGATCGATCGAAGAGGAGAAAATTGAGGATAAAATCAAATTCATCGAGGGACGATAAACACGTTGGCCATTTAAAGACCGAGCGGGAAGTTTTTCGAAGGAAGAAAACTAACTCATTTATAACTCAATCGGTGCTCGTAAAATTCTTGCTCGGGAAATCCTGTAGGCCGAGGCAATCCAGTTATCGGATAGATAGAAGAGATTACCTTTAATCGCGAGGCCGGCATCCTTAATCAGTACTTTTCTCGATGCTTTCGTTCGATGTTAGCTACGCATCGAGATTGAATCTGGTATGCAAACAAGATTATGTACTTTTTCTTCAACTCTATTTGTTCTCTCGTTCAGATAACATGATAGCAATCAATTTTCATATTTGATCAAGTGAAGATTGCAAAGGTCGTATAAGAAAAAACTTTTTTTTTTTTTAGTACTTCATTGTATGCGATATCTTAAAGTAGTTATTCGAACAATTATTTATTTGAGAAAAATTTTTAAAAATAAAAAATATTTATATTAAATATTTACCATTTAAAGGTATAAAAAAAAAAAATTTTATGTATGTCAATAAAAATTAATTTCCTTTTTTTTCCCTGTAAAATTCAATTTCAAAGAATAAAATCCATGATAAATATTTGCAAAAATTTAAAAGAAAAACTTAAATTTACTCGAAAGAGTGGTAGAAAAACGACTTACCGTTCCCGAAAATGATGGCCAAAACTCCGTAATGAAAGAACAGGACCAAAGGCGACATGGAATTGATGGACCACTTAAACGCGAGACCGCCTGTCCTCGACTGGTATCCGATGCTTTTCAACCACCGTGCAATTTCGACCCTGAATCCCGCGCTACCCCTACCACCGCACCTCTATTCCCAAGAAAATTCGCGCAGGCGTTTCAAACAATGCAGACACGAATGTTAAACAAACTGGCTGCTTGTACAAGGTTGGAATCATTCTGGTGTTTCGCGCCCGATCCTCTTCCCAAAGAGGATCACCACTTCCGTCGATTAGAAATTTGATTCGATTAGCAGCGAAGAGCAGATAATTCCGCGATAATGGAATTAAACGGGGTTTTCGTCATTTCGAATCTCCATTCTAATTCTTGATTAACTAGGATCAATTTTTAGAATTGATATTAATCGAACGATTATTGTTAGAAAGATTGATATAATGAAATTTTTCATTAAAGTTCATTAAAGTATCGTAAGAAAATTTTGAAAAATACTCTCCTTTTGTATTCCATCGATGATAATTTTAATAAAGGGATAGAAGTTATTTGATGCTTGCAGAATCTCATAATGTAAAAAGAGGTCTTGGCATTCTTTTGTTGTTTGTTGTATCCATTGATTTTCACCTGTCATCCCGGCACGATTTTTAAATTGACAAGTAAACCTATAGTACAAAGGCATATCACATTTTAGTCTGTGAGTTTTAGCATTATAATAATATCGTGAAAAATTCCCCGTTATACCATTTCAACGCTGTATTCGAGTTGTCTTTCACAGGCTAGCGTGAATTTGATAATGATAATATATGCCTTCAAAGTATCTGAAAAATGGACGTAAAGAAGAGTAACTGTATAAAGTGCAATGGAGATATAATAATTGATACTAGACATTGTCCGAAATGCTCGGCTTCGTTGAAGTTTCTTAAAACGTCGAGTTCCCTTGGAAATCAGGTTAAACAAGAATCGAACAAAAGTATCGTAAAACCAGTGGAAACCAATTACATAACGCAAATCGTGTCTAGCGGAATTCGACCAGATAACGTTTATGAGGTTCAACACAACTACTTTCAGTTAAATTAAATCAATGGTACATTTATCGTTATTGTATCGTAGACAAGAATGTTGTTGGCGCCAGAGGTAGACCTGTCATCTATTAAAATAACCGTGAAAGGGAATAATCTTCGCGTGAATATGATTAAACCCTTAGATGATCAATTTGCAAAACAATTACCAGAGATGAATGAAAAACCAATCTTTACCGATGTAATTAAAAAAATGATGAAACATTGCGAGAATTTGTTAATACCGGATGGTATTGACAACGCAAAAGTTCGAGCCGTAGTGGATAATAAACATAGAACGCTTGTGCTCACGGCTCCAGCGATAAAACTTAGCAAAATGAAAAAAATATATTGAGAAAAATTGAGCAAGGAAAGTATTTCTTGATATTCTACTATGAAGTTATGAACAAAATGTCAAATTCGATAAAGATAAAAGAACGATTTCGATATAAGATTATTCTACCAACTTCGTTTAGTTGACCCGTGAAAATGATTTCAAACAAATTTCCGTAACTTTTTTTTTTCAATAATTTTTGAAGTTTAACTTTACTATGGATAAACTACTACATAATTCTCAAGAAAATGGTGTCACTTTAAAGCGAAATGACTATATGAACTTTGAAATAATGACAAATGGACGGAAGAAGAGTTTCAGATTTGAAAAAGTTCCCAATTTTTATATTATTGATCATAAAGAATATTATGCCGTATGTTTTCTTTCATTAAGATTAATTGCCCAATTAAAAATTGAAAAATTTTATTAATATATATATATATATATATTTTTTTTTTTTATGCAATATAGGCAGAAATGAAGACTGAAGGATTGAAAATAGGAACAGCTACTTTAGCGAATGAAAATACATTGAATATAAAATTGCATAGTTCGGAAGATTTATCGAATATTAGAAATCTAAATTTCCTAATGCCACCTGAAGCAAATGCGAAAGAAGTCTCAATCGAAATACTTAATGACACGATCTTTATGCGTGCTCCTCTTAACAAAAAGAAATAGAACATAATACTATATGTATTTAATTATTATGTTTATACCTAAAAAAGATTTAACATCAAAGGTAGGAGATACAAGTTACATCAATTACAAGACCGATCTTCCTGTAGTTGTCTTCCCACATTTTATTCAAAACAAATAAAGTTCATGGGTCAACAACAAATTCTTAATAAAAATGTTTACTTCTTAGCGGGTGCGGTTTTCTGGCTACTTTTTGCCGATTTTTCGGATGCTTTTGTGGTTTTTGCCGGTTTTGCCGCAGTAACAGATGTTGCACTTTTTGCTTTTACCGCTTTCTTAGGTTTCGCTGCTCTTGCAGCCAAGATTTGCTTCCTCCGTCTTTCAAGGAGTAACTTAGTCTTGACGGCTGGTGTACTCTTTGGCAGCTTGACCTAGGAACACCGAATAATGTTTTCGATAAAATCGGTAAAAATATAGATTTATTCAATATCAAAAGATTAACTTACTCCACGCTTTTCTGCTAAAGCAAGCTCTCTTTCTTGTTGTCGTTTCCTTGCTGTTAAAATTGCTGCACGTTTCAGAACAGCTGCATATGGATTAAGACGTAACATCGCACGAGTGTTGCTCAATGGATTCAATTTCTTTACTCTGCGGACTACTTTCTTTCTGCAAGTTTGAAATTTGTATGTAATAAATATATCATATATGAAACGATTATAAAAGATTCATAAAGAGTAAAACATCAGATATGGTTAAGTTATAATCACTGTCAATCAACAACACGGACCAAATTTCATCATATATAAAATATCGTATAATATATTTTCAAAAACTTATAATATAAATCTATATACCTTGGTGCTCTCAAAACTTTACGAATTTCTTGAGATTTCAAAAGTCTCGACAAATCCGTATTCATCATTTTCGGGAAAGGTAAGTTATAATCGGCTTTAAGTTGGGATTCCTTACGCCAAGTTCCATAAAGAGCATCTAATTTTTCAAAGGCAGATTTTGTCCAAATTACAAAACGTCCAACATGACCACCAGGTGCCAATTTAAGCAGGTTCATTTTGTTAATATTCATAAGATCAACACCGGGAATATTACGGAATGCTTTACGAATTCCCTAAATATAAAATAAAAAAAATGATAAATATTCGAAAGATAATAAATAAGTTATTTTTTTTTTTTTTTAGATTTCTACATACTTGGTCCTGATGATATACGATCAAAGGTCCACGACGTTGAATGCGTCTGCGGTTACGCATTTTACCTTTACCAGCACGAAAACGTTGAGATTTATATACCTATAAATAAAAGGTTATTATCTTTTTCTAAATCAATGTATTTTAATTTAATTTGTTTGGTTAAATACACCCTCTCCTAGCAATTAATTTAGCTAGTAAAGAACGCCTATTATAACCATGTTTATATAGCACCTGATAGGAGCATCTGAATTAAAATTATTTTAACAAAGATGCGGACATTCTACGGTGCAGAAATGAAATTATTTAAAATATGCTTACTTTTTGAATATCATTCCATGCTTTAATACGTCTCAGAAATATAACAGCTTGTTTAGTCTTGTTATATTCTTGAATTTTATCCGATACTACTAAAGGAAGTTCTGGAATCTCTTGAACCATATGACCTGAACATAAAATAATACATGTTATAATAATTGTTTTATTTAGAAAAAATTAAATATATGAAAATTTTTGTATCAGATACAAATGCTATAAATAATCAATGGCAAATCAGAAACACGGACCAAAAGCAATCATCATGAAAATAATAATAAATTGATTAAATAGAATTATATAATATTTTCTTTAAAAAAAAAATTACTATTCACCTTTAGATTGTACAAGAGCTGGAACACCAGATGCAGCAATAGCTGAAACCATGGCATATCTTTTCTGATTAACATTAATTCGACGATGCCAGCGTCTCCAAGGTTTGGTTGGGGCAAACATACGTCCACCTCTACACATATTACCAAATGCACCTTGGCCAGAACGATGAGTACCACCACCACGTACACGAGGTATACGTGCTACAGCACGACCAGTACCCCATGATTCAGCAGAAGTTTGGTGACCTAATAAAAGAAACCTACATTTAATAATTGTATATTAGTTCTTTAAAATATAAAAAAAAAAAACTAGGCACAAAATTATATATGCTCACCAGCTTCCTTAGAAACACAATATGGCTGCCTGCTATTCTTTGAGACTTGTTGATGAACAAAATTCACGATATCAGGCCGAATTGGTGCTTTGAAGACAGCCGGTAGAGAAATTGTATCGCCTGAAGATTCATTTTTATCGGTATATATTGTTACAAGCGGTCGCGCCGTTGATAACGACTGTAAAATGAAAAATCAAAAAATAAGATAAAAATCCACTTATATCCAAATATATTTAATTATTAAAAATTAATGAGAAAAAAAAAACAAGAAGAAAAAAAAGAATTTAGAGTTTTGATAAAACTATTCTATTGATGAAATATATGGCGGACTAATTGATAAAAAAAAAAATTCACATTTTTAATACAAATATACTCATACATGATAAAACAGATTATTATACTTAATAGAAAGAAAACAAAGATGGTAAAAAAATATATGAAATTGTAAGTTATAGTTCAATATATAATAAAAACAAGCTATATTCATTTATATATCACAAGATATTACACGTGGTCCAATTATGCGATCTGTGTACAATCTTAAGTTTAAATGTAAAACTTTTTAAAATTATAGAATATTTTAACAATAAAATTATACAAGATATTAGATTCTCTTAAATTTTAAACAAAATATCAAGTTTCTTACCATCTCACCTCTTTTTTCACAACTTTTCACACATCAGATATAAACTTACGAGGCAGCTTGTACGCCTAAGCTGATTATAAAGGAAGTTGGACGCGAGCGGAAATTACATATTAAAAGTCGCGCATGCTCAGAATATAGTTTCTTTTAAACACTATTTACAATGAAATATAGTATTTCTTAGACGTAACAAATTAAACATATTTGAAAGATGATAAATTTTTTGCATTGTTCATAAGTTTATCATTTAAATTTTGACTTATAAAAAATTATATTTACAATAGAAATTAAATTTGACTATTTATGTTCTTATAGACATGCACCAATCGTGAGAAAGTTTGATGGAAAATGCTATATTGTGATTGGTAGTTCTAACAGAAATACATTTCCAAATAATCGGAAATACGTCATAAGATTTAAACTATGTTGAATAATTAATGAAAGTAAATTGTTACTATAAGTTTTTATTTATACAATTTGTATTAAATGGCAGGAGAAGTTGTAGTTGATGCTTTACCATATATTGATCAAGGATATGATGAACCTGGAGTCAGAGAAGCGGTAAATAATATTTTTTTTATAAAATTTCATTATCAAATTAATTCTAGGTTATATTATTAATATATATTATTAATAAATTAATTATAATTCGTAAATATTTTAGGCTTTGGCTATGGTTGAAGAAGAAACACGTCGCTATAGACCAACGAAAAATTATTTAGAACATTTGGTATCATTAAATATAACTGCTTTTGAAACAGAAGTAATGAAACATGAATTTGAACGAATGCAAAACCGTTTACCTATGGAAGTACTTAGTATGAAACGTTATGAATTACCTCCACCTCCACCAGGTAAAATGAATGATCTTGCAGCATGGAATGAAAGTGTAGAAAATAGCAGCGCACAATTAGAACATCAGGCTACAAGGTAAATTATTTTTAATGTTTTAATCTTTTATTTTTGCTTAATTACTTATATTATTTGTAGCCTGAGAATATGACTAATATATTATTGTAATGTTTTATAATAACACAGAATTTGCAATCTTGAATTAATGATGGAATATGGATGTGAAGCATGGAAATCTTATTTAGAAATATTAGTACAATTAGTAAATCAAGCCCAAAAACAATTACAAGCATTAAGGAAAAAGATACAAGAAGTTAATTGGCAAAGAAAATCTATGCAAACTCAAGGAGGAGAAAAGTTAAGAGCATTGGAAGCACAATGGGTGGGATTAGTATCAAAAAATTATGAGATCGAACAAGCGTGTGTACATTTAGAAGAAGAAATACAAAAATCTATGATGAATAAGGGGGAAGGAGTAGAAATCAATGATGTACCAGGAGAGGAAGAACCTGATGTTCCAGAAAAAAGTGCAACAGAAGTTATGGCAACAGAAATGGATCAACAAGAACAAGAAAATCAAGAACCCCAGAACAATGCATAAAAATATAAATGTATAAAATTATGAGTAATTATATTTTGCATATGTGTATTAATATATAAAAATAATAAATAAATTAACTTATTAGTAGTAAATAAATAAATTTACCGTAATTAAGATTGTCAAAAAGTTACTTAATCTTACTTAAGTTGATTCTGAAATAGGTTATATTGGAAAGTCTTGTATGGTATCCTAGAGTGTCCATAGAAAATATAATATTTTTTATAAAGTATTTTTTGTACAAATATATCAATATATATTAACAAATAAATATAAACAATACATAAACATCATAAAAATTAATTTATAAATATTATTTATCGATTGTCATTAGTGTTGAAATTATCGTCGAACATTAATATAAAAGAGGTTAGCAATCATAAATAGTATATGAAAAAATTAAAAGATTTTAAACACTAGAAATATTGATACAAAATTTTTAATATTTATTATATTTTATTTTATAGATAATTTATCACAATGCCTTATGGTATTTCATGGACTCGATATATTTGTCTTGTTACATCAGCATTTTTTGCAACAGCAGCCGGCTCGCAAGTTGTGCATCTCATATATCGACCGCTTGATGATTTAGATGATCTTATAGAAGAAGCATTGCAAAAAAAACTATCAGAACAAAAAAATCATAACGATATGTTAGTAAAATCTTAATAAATAAATTATACGTATTAATGTATAATTATATTAAGATATATTATTTACGTAATTATTTATGTAATTGTTTAAATATTTTATTATTTAATAAAGTTTCTTTTTAAAAGAATTGGGGAAAATAAAATTAAGAAATAAATAATATTATAAATTAAATAATTTAAAAGATATAAAACACTAATTTTAGCTACAATACAAGATTTAATAAAGCACAATTTATTTCATCATAGTTTACACATATCACGCTTTTCTTTAATGCTTGAAATATACATATTTACAAGATGACTATCATCGTCTATAAATGACATATAGTATCATATAACAATTATTTATAATTCACAATATACTTGGAGGACTATTTTAAATAGTTTGCTCGCATTGATGTATCACTAGCACATTTTTGCATAAGCTTAGCTTGTAATTTAAATTTTAGGATAGCTACTAACTCGTATTCTTTTTTTATATAATTACAAAAGCGAATAATCAAGCGTTATTCTTGGGCAACTATTGGTATAAAAAAATACGTAAATTTTATCTGTATTTTAATCGTTTTGTAATGACAGGAAGAATAGTAAAAACACTCGTAAAGCCTTTATCAATCGATTTCGATTAATCACTAAATTGTCATAATGATGTTTCGCTGGCACCAGAACTCTGTGATTGAAGTGGTAAACTTGTTTTATATCCTGCCGATTCCTCCTCTAGCAATGCTATCCGTTGTTTTAAAGATTTTACCTATAAATCAAGAGATATGTAAAAAAAAAAAAAAAAAAAAAAAAAAAAGAAATAGCAAAAAATTAACTAATTCAGTTACATCATTCTTATTAGGATAATAAATTACTGCGCAGAATCAGGCGCAGTTCAATATTGAAAAGACAAGATGGCGATAGAGAAAAGGCATCGTGCGGTACGCAATAAGAATGGCGTCGTCCAAAATAATAAGAAAAATAAGAACATTCGTAAATAAAATGCCTGGTAAACGTTTCAAGGAATTTAGATTTTTACCGTTATGTTTTATCATGGGTGGTGTGCTAGAGTTCCTTATGATTCATTGGCATGTTGGAGAGGTTAACTTTTATAAAACGTATAAAAAGAGAAGAATAGAAGAAGCAGTTCAAGAGAGATTAAAAGAAATATATTAACGAATAAATGAATTATAGCAAATATTGTCCATAAATTAATGGGCAAAAGTGAAATTTGTATCTATGATAATAAATTAGTGAGTACAATATTATAACCTTAATATTTCATTTTTACAGCAACAAAGATTTTTAATAATATTTTATACCTTTTTAGATCTTCAGAATGATGTTGATATAATTTATGAAGGATTTATGTAAAAACATATATAAAATATAATAAATTATTTTACAAACGTTTAAGTACAATTTTGGCAGTTCTTCTTAACTTCTTTCATATCACACATCACATTTATGCTTGTTCATACCTGAGCAGCATGTCTTTCCACCATACCCAACATTTGTTGTTCCAATTTCTTTAATCTGGATTGATATTTTTTCTTAGACTTCTCTAAAGTTTGTACCAAGGCTCTAAAAATAAAATTAAAAGGTAATATTTTTCAATCGATAAAATTAATTTTTATCCATGATTTAATTACCCATTCGCTCTTTTTAAATCATTAATAAGCTCGGCTGATTGTTGATGCCTCAATTCAGAATTTTTATTAACTTTATCTAAAGTAGAAACTAATTCTTGCAATCGTTCTTTTAGTCTAGCCTCTCGTCCTAATGCTTCTATTAATTCGGATTCCATGCCTTCACTTTCGTTATCGCTTAAACCTCGATCCTATAATATATATATAATTTATCGATTGGAAAATAAAATTTTTATTATAGAGGAAAAATAATTCTTACTTTATTCGTAGCCATTGCCAGCATGGCCTCTGTATCTCTGAGTTGACCCTGAAGATGTTCAATGGCGGCATGCTGAGCTGCAATTTGCGTATCACGTGCATTTAATTTCAATTCTATAGTAGCTCGTTCCTTTTCCAACAGAAAAACTCGTGCTCGTAGCTCTGCCTTATCCTCTCTCATAGCCATTAATTCCTGCGTGATTTTTTAATTGATTACATTTCTTTTTGAATTCTCCAATGATTTGAAACTAAACAACAAACCTGCATAAGTACAGCTGTTTCTAAATCTAATTTTCGAGCTTCGGCGAGAGAAATCGTGTTTTTCGAGTTTAGTGGTTCAGCGTGAACGCTTTCTAATTCCACTACAGTCGATCTAACCATAGCTCGTTCCCCTTTCAATCTGCTAATGTGTCTTCTAAGTCTTTGCTCATCTTCAACGCACCAAGTCACTTCGGATCTAAGGATCATGAAATCGGATCATGAAAAAAATTGTAAATTTATCGATTATTGCTATTTTCTTATATATTTACTCGTCCGACAAAACTATACTATCTTCCCACGGTGCATTCAAGGTATTCATACATTCATTTTCAAGTTTATTCAACACATGACAGGCTACATGTTCGGCCGCTCTCCTGTTTTCGATCGTGATGCTATTTCTTTCCGTCGATAGGGCAATCTCGCTTTCCAGCAACGCTACCAACACATCATAAGCCTCTATCGCGCGATCGCTATAAGAAAGGGCTAATCGTAATGCAATCGCATTCGATTCGTACTTTCCCACTAAAAGACTCAATCTGGAATACGACGAAACTCGTAAACGTAATTTTTACACATTTCTATTTTCTATTTTAGAGAAGGAAAGATGAACCTGTACCTGTCGCATTGCGCCTTACTCTCGTGTAAAGTCAAGGCAAGAACCGCGTTGTTCGTTCGAGCATGCTCTAACCTGCTGTTCAATCTTTCCGTCTCTACTTCGAATTGTTTCTCGGATCCGTTCAATTCTTGAATGTTTGAGTGTTCCAGAAGATCTGACACTAGATGCTCGGCCACCATCGTGGAACACACCTGTGTCAAATTTAATAAAATTCACAAGAGAGATAAATAAATAATAAAAATCACATTCGTAATTGTAAGGAAATTTCACTCGTGATTAATCGTACGAGGGAAAAAAAAAAAAAAAAAAATATGAACAACAATGGGGTAATAAGTAATACAAGTCATAAGTACCCCCAGATTAGTAATATCGGGTCCTGTGATGTGCCTCTCGTCGGTCCTCCTGAGTCTTACCCTCTCGGCTATTTTAAGAACTGGAACTTCCTCCCTCGTTACGCTCTTTGTCGGCGGTGTCTGCAGGGGTGGCAAGAGTGGCGAGCAAGGTGCACTCAAAGGTTCCGGTGAGCTGGTGTTGCCTCTTGTCTGCGGAAATCAAAGAAGAGCACGAGGAAAACATTACAGACGAAGGGAAGGGTTGATAAATATTTTTGTGAAAGTGTTGGCTGATCAAAGGCTGGCCAAAGGACGAGGTAACGATGCAAAAAATTCGTTCGACATTCAACGGTGGTTTCTTCCTTTCAAAGAGGGGAAAAGTGTATTTCGGTGCATCAAGATGAAAGGAACGATCTTCTTTTCATCGCGGAGAAACTCTTTCGCATAGTTCCATTGCGTCTTTACAAGTCAAAATCGCATTGACTTGTAAGCGTCATACAATGGGATGATACGTCACAGTAGATTGAATTGCTACCCACTCGTGCTTCTCTACGGGGCGACTCGCTGCCAGCCTGTTGCCTCTGATTGTTAGCCTGATTCTTGAAATTGGCCAGTTGAGCCTGCAAGCTGGCGATCTCCGCTCGAAGGGCTGTGACCTCTTCTTGCAACGCTGCCACGGCCACGCTTTGGCACGAAGCCGCCTGTTGTGTCGGTTCCGGCGTTGGTAACGCCGCCGGACTGTCCAATTGCTCTCTGCCATTCTGTCCATGCAAATTATTGTTTAATCGAAATAAGAATTTCATAGATCATTACGACGTCTTAGATACAACTTTCTAAATTCTGAATCCGCTGCAATAACGAAGCAGAAGCTTACGATCGACGAGTATACCTCGACAGTACGTGGCTCGATGTCCTCGCAGCAGCTGGAATCGGCATCGCCTAAGGTACGATCTCCATCCCCCTGAATGTCACCTCCGCCTTCGCTCTCTTCGACAGGATTAGTGATAGATCCCTCCGCGTCTCTGCTCGTTTCTATCTCTGCGGAGATCAACGATTAACGAATTAAAAGACAGAAAGAAAAAAAAAGAAAAAAAAAAAAAAAAAGGAAACGAAGCGATTCATTTATTTCAATTATTCACAAAGTTTCACGAAAAATTGAAAGAAACCGGTGTAGAAAAAAATGTAACACTTGGACGAGAATCATCTCGTTTGGAAGGAAAGATATCATATATTTTGGCCACGTGTTGAGAGAAAGAGAAGGGATGCCCTCGCAGCGGGGAACGCGTTAGAACATCAAACAACCTCGGCTCGTAATAAATCTCTGTCCTCCGAGGGAGATAGAGACCGTGGTCGCACGGGTTGACGGAATCGGTTGCCGTTTCCTCTCCCTTACCAGACTCATCCTCCTCGGCAATTACGGTAGCTCGATGCCTCTCGAGCTGCCTGCCAAGCTCGGCGATCACGGAATGTAACTCGGTGAGCCGCTCCTCGTGCCTCGCCGCTTGTTGCTCCACCTTCTGTTCCGCTCGCGCCGCCTGAAGCTCCGCGCGGACCAAAGCCGCCTCGGTCGCCTCCCTGGCTCGTGTCTCCGCCACCAACCTCGCATTCAACTCGGCCACCTCGGACCGCAACGACGATAGGGCGGCCGCGTGCAGCTGCAACACAACCGCCAGGGAAAATCCCTCGATTAACGATTTCGTTTCGATTGTTTTTCGATCCGGCAAGGGGAGGAAATTTCGAGGGTGTTTGATCGAATCGAGAGAAATTCAACCTTGCGACGACCAAGTATCGCCGATTCTATCGGATCCCGTGATGAACGCAATTCTCGCGTTCCATCAACGTGTTGGATAAGACGTCGCAGTTTGAAACGAATAACAAATGGCAGTTTCCACTTTTAACCTCTTAATCTCTTACCTCGATCAACCTTACCTTGTCCGTTCGATAAATTTCTAGTCGCAACGATACATTATGCACGAGTTATCGTCAAGGAAAGAGTAATTTGCCGATTCCATGTTTCTATGCTCGAGGTCGACTATAAACGCGTTTATCGTATTTATCATATTGGATCGAACAAACACGAGTAATATCCTTCGTATAATCTAAATAAATATTCTCAATCTCGAATCGAAACATCGCTTTTACGAAAGAGACAGAGAGAGAGAGAGAGAGAAATCTATTTGAACTTGAAGTTCGCTATCGAAGAAGGCAGAAGCGGCTATTTGCGACGAACACGCGATTTCCGCAAATAGACGGTTCCAGACACGATCGTTCTCCTTATTATCGTTGCCCCTCATTAATTTCACCGTATTCGCGATATTCCGAGCGTGAGCGCGGGAAACAGAGAAAAAGGAAGTGAAAAAATGCGTTAAGGAGCTCGCGGATACCTGTTTACGCGGCATCGTTCCTCGTCGAGTGCCCCCTTCGCGTAGGCAACCGTGCATGACGAACGTTACAAGACGACGAGCTGTTAATGATTCTGGCCATGCGATAGCGCACACCGATCGTGAAAAGAGAGAAAAATTCCGCATATAAGAATCACGACCCGTAATTACGAAGTATCCATTCTAGATCCTTTTATCGAGAGTGAGCGAGAGAGAGAGAGAGAGAGAGAGAGAGAGAGAGAGAGAGAGAGAGAG